GTTTTTCAACTTTTAAAGCCACTTTTCTTGGTATGAATGATTTCAAATGCCGGTCCATATGACTTGTAGCTCCAGTAGATTGTATAGATAATTTACTCTTGCAATGGACACATTGCGCCTTCTTTGTTCCATCAACAATTTTTGCCTCTTCGAACTCCAACCTTACACTTGAAGTTTTCTATCTTTTTGACTTCGATATTGGACCATCTTCCTTAACTTCAATAGGACTCTAAGATCCAGTTTGAATACCATCTGTGTTAAAAGGAACACTTGCAATGAAATTGTTTGCATTATTTGCTATCTGACTTGTCTTATTTGATGAGGAATCAATGGTAGTGCCAACCATGGTGATAGGGGACGGATCAGACACAAAATGAGAGATCAAGGGTCCTATAGAGGTTGAGGGAATATTTGTTTATGAAAGATTATGGTCATGAAAGGGTCCTATTTAGCATTCCCACCCAATACTATTCCAAGGTACCTCAAAACACTGAACCAATAAATGCACGTTCCTTGCTACCTCCCCTCACATGTCCTCACAAAACAATATTATATCATCTCAAAGAGCAAATGTCTTAATACAATTTGTTCCCTTTCAATTCTCCATCCCATGATCAGCCCACATTCATCTACTCTAAAACTTAATCTACTAAGCACATCTACGAGAAGAGTAATGAGAAAAAAAAGGAGAACAGATCTCCCCGCCTTAATCCCTTCTTAGGGAAAATATATTTTACATCCCATTTATTAAGATAAAGTAATTTGCTGAATTTAGTAAGCACATCCATTCACATTTTCCATCTTTTCCCAAAACCACATTTTTCTAGCACTTCTCCCAGAAATGGCTAATCTACATGAGCATTATAGTTCCCAATTAGAAAGGCAACTTATCCCAATTTGGGGTGTGAATTATTTTGTTAACACTAGGTATAACTAGGGTAACTTCTACCATAAAAGATGGGGCAGGAAAATCATAAAAGAACATTACTTTCATTAGGAAACCAATAAAGGTACTACTATATACCAAGAAAAAGGAAAACATTCAAACTAAACCCAGATTAACATGCTACAAGAACCTTCTATAGCATGTGAATGAAATTTTTAATATGAAAAATAATTTTTTTTTAATTTAGTTTTTCATAATATTAAACTACTTTATTATTGGATCGAAGCAAAGCATGTAATGAAATTTTTACTCTAGTAAGTGGTAGCATGGACAGTATGTCGGACGGTTGGTTACAGAGGAGTTGAAGGGAGCCAATCACCAAATACGAATCAGTACTTCCAGCTTCCAACTCTCAGAGCTGTACCGTCGGGCATCGCCACACCGGTCGTCAGGCGTCAGCTGTGAGAGGTGAGAGGCTGAGAGCTGAGAGTATCGCCGGGCATTGACTCGACTGTGACGGTGAGAGTTTGAGAGAACTTGAGGCAGGGTCGCAGTGAGGGTTGAGACTTGAGACTGAATATCTGAAACTGAAAGGGTTTATTCGTTTGATTTTTCCCTCTTTGCTTAATTGCTTTCTTAGATTTGAAAGTTAGAATAGGATGTGAATGGGGCCATGATACATCTATATCCCCACCAATAACATTCTTTCCAGAAGTATAATATATGTACAATTATTATATACACATAAATATACATATGCTTTCAATATACACATAGGCTCGATTATGCTCGTGAGCTTAATGAGCCGAGCCGTGGAGTATTCGAGTTTGGCTCGATTAAGATATGAGCCATGTATAGAGCTCGAATTCAGTTCGAAGCTCAAGTTGGACTAAATCAAGCTGAACTCAAATAGCTCGTGAAAAGCTTGGTTCGTGTAAATCGCTAGAGGATGCTGGTTTAGCAACGTCCTCGTTATCTTGGCCATCACGATCTTCTCCAATTTTACCAACTCGCCATTGTTCTGAATGGTTGGCTGGGGCCTGGAGTCTTCAGCGGATGCCATGACCTTGCCGTGATTGGGTTCAGCTCCAAAGCCGACCTTGCAGCCTTTGAGATCGGTGATATTGAGAAGCTAGAAGAACCGGGGGCAGAGCCAATGGCTTGGAACATGATGGCAGTCAAGACCGTACCGTTTGTCATTTGATGCAAGTATGCAACTTCTGTGCACCAAAATAATTGAGAACGTGAAGGGATACGATGTTTTTGATAATTTGACGGTGTAGATGGAGAGGTGCTTGGACAGGAGGTCTGACATGCCGTGTTTGTAGACTGTGCAGACCATGATGGTCTCGCATTGGTTGATCTCTACAACGAGTTTTTTTTTTTTTTTT